TTTTTGATCTTTAAACTTACTTTAATCTTCTTTCTCCCAGGATAGTAGGAAATTCTCCTGGCATACAGCAACTTGTATTTCAGGAGGTTTTTAATTACCAAATAAATCACAAATAGGTAGCTTATGATGTTAGTTAAAAGAGGAAGTAAAGCAAATGTAGTGTCCTTTTGAAGGCTTCGCACCACGGCTTGGGCTTGGTATTTCCCTCGACTCCCAGAGCACTCCACCCACTAGGGAATCTCTGTAGGGAGTGCCTGTAGGTGATCCTGTCAATCTCCTTTATCTGGAGATGATTCTGAAGAGCTAGACTGAGGTCAGCTCTTCTAACTGCCGTGGGCATCGGCTCCACAAAGAATGGGGCCGTGTTCAATCAGCCATTTCTTCCCTGGAAGCCTCCAAAAGACATCTTTTCTGATAAATAAACTTGTTAGACAGAAAACACTTTGACTCATTCTGCATTTCATACACACTAGTGTTCACTAGTCACAATTTAGTGAAAGGAAGGAACTTTTATCTCTTATTGATTTTTATGGAATAGTAATTCTTTCCCACTGAAAATCAGTGAGATTTACAAAAGTTTGTCACTAGGAAGATTCATGTTTCATAATAACTGAAATATCCTCTTTTTCCAGAATTGTAGAGAAGTGCATGGTGATTCTGTTCCATACATTTATCACCATATGAATTGAGCCTTTATCTTGCATGAAAAGTCCATATCAAATAGCTACTATATTACTTTAAAAACGTTTGCAATTTTCATATCTATGACACAGCCTAAGCAAAAATATTTTTTTTAAGCAAAAAAAGTGTTTAAATTTAAATTTTGAAAAAGTACAGTTTATTCTTGCATGAATGATCCTCAAACCCTTACATGTCCTTTTTTCCTTTAGCGTGGTAAGATTAGCAGTTTTCAGTTCCAGTTTAACAAACTGTAGCATACCCTTATCTTTGAACAGTGTTAAACTGTAATTTTGGTTTATTGAAACAAGTCAGCATCAAATCTTGAATTATGAAGTTGGCTCATTTCAACAAACTGTATTTAGGAATTTCCCGTTCAAATTTAGATTAAATCAGAGTTTCTCAAACTTAGCTATTTTAATATGTCTGGACTTCAACTCCCATAATTCCCCAGCCAGCATGGCTGGTTAAGGAATTCTGCGAGTTGAAGTCCAGACATCTTAAAAGTTGCTAAGCTTGAGAAACTCTGGATTAAATGCTAAACTATAGACAGTTCAAGTGAAAGCTTCCAGTTACCCCATTAGGAATCTCCAGGAAAGAAGATGGAATGAAAGGGATTGAAGCTCATTCATATACACAGAATATTGTTGTACTTGAATGCAATCAATCCCTCAATTTCAGTTTTTTTTTCATGAATTGGATATTGTGTGTTTTACTAGAATCTGGTTTGAAAAGTGAGGTATCTAGCATTAAGGAAGGTATAATGTGTATGGATATAATATTTATGATATTAATTATTCAATCTTTGATGCTAATGCATGATCTTTAAATTGTAAAGGCTGAAATGCTGCCCTAATTCTGGCTACTTTTCTCCCGCCTTTCTTAGCCTGTCATTCCTATGTTTACAAAAAATCTACGGGAAGGATACAGAACACTTGGGAAAATATGTAAGATGGATTCAACTTGCATTTACTCATTCTGCTAGATCATATTATATGGAAGAAAATCATGCTGATTTCAACTGGGTTTCTATTTAAATGTGTTTAGAGTGCTGACCTTGAATTAAAAAAATGTTCTAAAGTTTTTGTTTTCATATATCCATCTACTCTCTTTCTCTTTCTTGGCCTTGAGCTTCTATCACATTGTCTTATCCTAGTATTTTTTCCTATGTTTTTGGTTCTCTTTTTAATGTGTGATTCTTCCTTTTTGTTATCTTTAAATTTATTCAAGTGTGCAGTCCTTGTCCAATTGATGCAGCTTTACTTTAGCTACAATCTAGTGTTCATTTTCGTGTATCTATACTGATTGAAATTAATGAGACAAAATGAATAATTATGCACAGGACTAGGACCTTGTATTTGTTCTGCATGACAATTGAGGCATGCATTTATATACAATTATGTAATAACTACATGCTACATGCTTTGTTAATTTCCTATTGGGGCACTTCAGATGTTGTTCAGCCCACACCATGTTATTGTTGTTAGAACATGAGCATATTTTTATTTGTACACACAGGGCCATTCAAATGGCTGTATGAACGTACCCGATGGCCAATTGTTCCTGTTTATGGTGGATTCCCTGTGAAATTTTGCACATATGTAGGAGATCCCATTCCTTATGATCCAAATATATCAGCTGAAGAATTAGCTGAAAAGGTAATTTAAGTGAACTGCAGAAACATCTATTATAATAGTTGTTATTATTTGAGAGTCTTTTTGTGTCCAGGAGAGAGAAAGTTCATGATTGCAGGCATCCAAACTTCTGAAAAGATTACTGTGAGGCCCAGCCCAAGAACAATGATGAAATAGTCCAGTCGAGTATAATTCCTTTATTGGCTTACACCTTATAGACAGAATCTTGTCAAACTAAATCTACACTACAGCAACTAGTGGATATACCCTGGGAGATTCTAGGGAGTGGCTATCCTGAACCTCTTTCTCTTCCCACACTCCCCCCGTGGACTGTGTTGTCTGTCTCCTTTCCCCTGCTGGAAGGCACCCCCTCCCTCCTGATAGCCTTGATCTCCCACATCACTCTCCTCCTCGTAGATACATTCCATCACAATTAATCTTTGTTAACCTTTCTGTTCAAACAATATCATAGTATACAACACATACTTAATGTTTAGTAAAATCCTTACCTTGGCTTATATTCATTGCTTGTAAAATTATGCCTTCTAAAAAAGAAAGGAGAATATAATTTAAAGGTGATTTTTAAAAAATTGCAAATGAACAATTACAAATATGATAATGGTTCACTTCAACTCATGTTATAACTAAACAGTGGTGTTTAAAAAGTATAATATGAATGTAGTTCAGATATTTTCTAGAGGAAGAAAATAAGATAACGTAAAAATATTCTTTTCTGTTCTTTGCTCTTTTACAGACTAAAAGTGCAATAAAAGATCTCAGAGATAAACACCAAGAAATACCAGGTAGCATACAAAGAGCATTACTGGAACGGTTTGAGAAACACCCTGAGAAATAATGGTATACTACTTGTGAAAATGTAGATATCCTCCCCCTCCCCCCAAAATGTACTATGCTAGTGATTTTTCTTTTTTCTTTTTTAGAAAAAATGGTTCACTTCAGTGATTAAATTTTAATATATTATATATAATAATATAATATTATTATATATGCTTGTTTGCAAGGTTAGATTTGTAGATCTACTTGTGTTTATTTAGCATATAGAAACGGGATGTGGGTTTGATGATTTGGACTTCTTCAGGTAAACTCTTTCAGTGATGACCAACCTTTTTGATGCATTTGCATCATTTAATAAATGTTGTCCTGTAACCTTTATATTTTCTCATGCATTTTAAACTGCATTTCTTGTTTTATATTGCTTTATCTCTGCCTATTTTATTCCTTTCTCTCAGCTTTAAATTAATTTGTATCAGCAATATTTTCCATTTTTTTCTATCTACAAATGTTTTTTGAAATTTTAATGGTTTGTATGGAATGTGTTTTGTGTTTTTTATAGTGATTTAGTTGGTTTGAGTCCTTGTAAATCATTCTGACAATTCTGGTTATAGGTCAGCCTATAAGCTGTATGTATGTATGATAGAATGCATGATGAAGTAAAGTAATTCAACTATTAGTATAACTCACATATCCAGTCATGTTCTTGCTAAATTCTGTCAAATGCCCCAAGTCTTAAATATGCTGCTACACCCTTTCACAAATATAGTCATAAAAGCTTGGTCTCTATCTAGTAGACATAGGAAGACTGTAATTTCACACTTAAGTGATTCTAGACAATGTTTTAACTCAGCCTTCCTCACTCTGCTTCTCACTGGATATGCTGCATTTCAAATCCTATGAATTCTAGTCAGCATGTCCATCTGTCACTGCTGGCCAACATATTTGGAGGACACCAAACTGAATAAGGCTATTCTAACTTGATGGATTGTAACAGTTGAAAGTAAGTTAAAAGATCATCTAATCAATGCAAGATTCATTTAGAGCAGTGTTTTTAAAGTTTTTTCTCTCAGGACCCCTTCCCACTTTTAAAAGTGATGGAGGACCCCAAAAGAGCTTTTGTTTGTATTGGTTATATTTATTGATATGCACCATATTAAAAATTAAAACGATACATTTGCTACTACCATTTCTCAC